TAAAGATGTAAGACTGAGAGGTGAATACTTTTTCTCTGTCAGTGATGGGAAAAGAAGCTTCACGATTGATGACCAGTTAGTAAGGTTCCCATTCATGTTTTTCTTATTTTAGGTCATTTACATATCTAAGCCAAATGAGTATGAACCAACAAAATGGAGTCTGTAAGATGAAGTCTTTTGTCTTTTTTACAATAGATGGATGGTGTTTGGGAAATCGCCAGTTTCACATACGAAAATAAACTAGGCTGAAAGAAATGCATTCGTTTCATCGCAGAAGATGCGATAAGCCTAATACAGCATTCTGAAAAATTCAAGTAAGCTTATAAGGGTCAGACATTCTCGGACGAGCTAGAATTCGTAATGTCAAAACGCCTTGAAAACTTTCGCAGTCTAGACCTTGAGTATGATTGCCACAAAATTAGTTTATAAGTCGCATAAGGCAGATGACTTGTGAAAGTTCAAGAATTCTTCACCTCATCATAATTACTAGGGCTGCGAAGAACTTGGAATAAGAGTATTTGGAGAGAAACAATGTGTCTGATTCCCCTGCACTTGCAAGCAGTGATTAAAAGAACGTGAACGTTATTTATCACAATAAAAAACATAACTAAGTAAGATTGTTCCAACCAAATCCGTATTCTCAAGCCGTATCTGTGATTACCTCTAATTAATCTGTAATCTGTAATCTTTAGCACTAATTTTTTTAATGTAGACAGCAAATCAGAAAGATTGCCCCGAGTGGTGAAAGGATCTTATAACTGAAAGTGAGAATGTTAAGGACTGCCAATTCTTTTTGAAAAAGTAGCAAACGTCGCGATTTGTCATTTTACACATGAATTTTTTTAATAAACAAGAATTAACAGCAGAACTTTGATGCTTGATTTGAGGATTATCTCAATATCTAAGTCACTGCAAAGGTGAAGAGAAGACAAATCAAGCAAAAAATTTCTTTTCATAGCTCAAACATGCCTCATTAAGTTCGAACTATGCTGTTAGTAGTGAACTTCTACCGTAAACTTCTGTTCTTCACTCTAAGGAAGCAAAGCAAGCATTTTAGGATAGAAAGATTTTTCTTGAAAGGTTTTCTAAACAATTTCATTAAGTGTGGATGATTGATGCAAGTTTATGATATTAGGTCGCCTAATAATTTCATTTTGACAAATATCTGCAAAGTTCAACAAAAATTGCAACTGTTATTTGACTATAACTACTATTGTGACTACTATTGTGAGCAGGTACCTCAGGCTTCTACTATCACATACTCATAAAATAGAATTCCCAAACGTGATAAAAGACAGTTATGAACCTTGCATGGCTAGCCTTCCAAAAAATCACTTTTGACTTTCCGGGTTTCGTTCTGAGCTTGTAGTAATCGCACACACGAGTAATTTGGCAGGATGCAATTTGCTGTTTGCGTATTTCTGCAGCCTAAAATTTGAGAATTTTCAGGTATCCGCCGTGAAAGTCACCGTGGAAATCAATTTTAGGGCACTTCAAATCGCTTGAATTTG